TGTGACATTTTATTATTATTTTTTTTAAGTTTTCTTAGCCTTTTTAATTTTTTTATTTAGTTAAATCTTGGGAAAAAGTAATGGAGATATCCATGTAGCACTCCCATTTATTTTTCTTTCGTTTTGTTGTTATATAAATTTTACAACAAAATGTACCAATAAATAAAGATAACAAAATAATTTGTATCTAATAAGTTTTGATTTAACCTAATCCGATAAAAGAGTGATTTTTGTAAAAAAATTAGGATTGAATTAGGGCAAATTAAATTTTTTAAAGAGAAACAAAATCAGGTGAAAATGGGTTAATGATGTTTTATCCCGACCTACCTCAGGTATATATAAAAGTATATATTTTAATATTTATAATATAAATATATAAAAATGTATATATTTTCTCTTCATATTTAATAAATAATTTTTTAGATTTATCGTAAAGTTCATTTGATATTATTCATTAAAAATATATTTTCTTTGTCTTTTTTTGGTTTTTCTTAATTACATAATTTTATTAAAAAAATGTCGAATGAGGTATCCATGTGGCATTTGGATTTGGTCTTTCTCCTTTCCTTTTTTAAGTTTTTAAAACTTTTTTAGTTTTTTTTAAATTAAAAAAAAATAAAAAGGGATCAATGTAAATGTCCATTGGAAATTCTATTTTGATTCCATTTTTTTTTTTTTTGCTTGGGTTTTTTTTCTTTTTTTCTTTTAGATTTTTTTAAAAGGTTTTCTAATATAAATCTTGCAAATCCATCCTTACACTAAATCTTTTTATAAATCCATATTTACATTAAAAAGTTGCAAGATTTAAAAAGCAACTGAATGTCCATGTGGTACCTTCATTAACTTTTTTTTTAACCTTTTAGTTTTATCTTTTTTATTTTTTAATTAGATAAACTTTTTAAGAACATAATGTTAATTAAGGTGTCCATATAAAATCTTTATTTGTTTTTTTTTTCATACTTTTTCTTTCTGTTTTTTGGTGTATTTTAATTAGATAAATTTTACAACAAAATAAAACTAGTTGATATGATGGCAAAATAATCAATGTATGATGGTTTTTAATTCGTCCTATTTGATATAGGTGTTTTTGTAAAAAACGATCTTGAGTTGAGTCGAGTTGATTTTTTATGAAAACGAGATGAGCTTAAAGCGGATTTGAGGTGCTTTACTCAAGCCACCTTATAGTATATATAAAAGTGTATATTTTATTAATTTATTTAATTTTATATTTATATATATTATATTAATAAAATTATTATTTGATGTCTTACTATAGGTATTATAGTATATGATATTATATCATATAGGTAGTTTGCTTATTTTAAAGCATTTCATCTACGCTTGTTTTCTTGATATTTGAAATTGCTAGAAATTAAATTTTGATCACTAAAATTAAAATTTTAATAATTATTAATAGATCATATGATCGTTGGTCATTATAACTCTTTTTATTGTAATCTTGTAACTTTCTAATCATAAATGTGGATTTTACATAATATTTTAGTATAATTTATATAATTTTAAATTCTGATTAATTAATTACACTGTAAAAATTTCAAATGATATGCTATTCATTTAATTATTTCCAACTTACCGTGCATTATTTTTTTTTTTAAATCTATGGTTGTATTAAATATTCATAGATTGGCTACATTAAATTATTTGTCTTTCTTCTTGGAAATAAGAAAAAGAACTAAAATTTTTATTCTATGACATTGATCAAATGCCAATTAGATTAGTACAAGGATTGAACTATTCATCTAAATACGAAACTTTATTTAAAATTTGATATAATTTGAACATAAATTTAAGCCTGTTAAATGAGTTTGTATTTAAATTTTAAACCAATTTAAAATAATGGATTGAGCCTTAAACATGAAATTTAAGATTTGGATCCAATCCAACTCAAATAACTATTATATATATTTTTATATTTATATTACATAAAACTAAATAGATAATTAAATGATATATATTTATAGATTAATATCTTATAGTTATATATACTAATCATATTCAAACACCAAATTAAATTAAAAAAGTATTTTTTAAGTTTTATTTTGTTAATTATTTATTATAAAAATTATTTTATTTTTTATTTGAAAAATAAAATATGAATGAACCTAGACAGAATCCTTATAAAATGGGTTAAACTTGAACAACAAAATGAGATTTATATTTTGGATAGAGCCAAGCCTTGATAAGCTTCAAACTTGTAAAATGGGTCTAAGCATGATCTGAATCCTAACTTGATCCACTCCGTGAAAAGGTATAATGCCAATTTGTCAACAAATACAAATTGTGGAAAGAAGCTCGTGCAGTCGTGCGTTACCTTGTTAATTTCATGATTTTGGGTTAATGTCCATAGCATTTTTCGCATCTCAATTTAAAATTTTCAAATGACAGCACGTCTTTATCCGATGATGATGAAATTGTTTTTGTATAACTTAGTTAAAATATAAAATTTTAATTTTAGTACTCATGATTTAATTTTTGATCACTTCAAATATAATTTTCTTTTTTTTTTACCTTTTTAATATAATAAAACTCGATATAAATCTTTAAAGAATTAAAAGATATAATATTTTGTGATATATAATTTGATCGAAATTATGATTTTACAAAATATGAATGAGAAACTATCGTTCCATTCAAATGCATTACGATGCAAGATGCTTTAGGAGTGTTGGAATTGAACTAAAACTTATATTTTTACTGTTGTTATTTACTTTATCTACTGTTTATTAGGGGTTATTTTACTAGAAGGTCTTTTAGAAGTAAAATGGAGTGTTTTATGCTTTTATACCAAGTGATGGAAATTTGTGTTTTAAAATTATAAGTTATAATAGTATGTTTTTATATATAAAAAATTAATAGATAATTAAAAAATAAATTAACCAACAAATTAAAACATAATTATAAAAATTTAATAAACAATTGAATTAAATTCACACAAAATAAGAATTAAACTAAAACCTAAAAAATTTAGCATTTTTCCTTTACCACTAGCCAAGTCTTCGTTGGCAAGTGATGACAAATTTTTATTATCATGTTGAAGGTTTGAAGCTTGTTGGATATACAAATAGTGATTGAGCAGGTAATGTTGAAATTCGAGAGAGTACTTATGGCTATGTTTTTAATATTGACATTGGAAGTTTTTTTTTTTTGGGTTGTCTGCACGTGGTTGCTGTTTCAACTGCAGAGGTTCAATTCTACTGTAGCAGCAAGTTGAGCTACTCAAGCAGTATGGCTGCGGAGATGTTTAATGAGAAATATTTACTATTAAATATTAAAATATTAAAATATTAAAATAAAATGTTTATTATAAAATATTGAAAAATATTTATTCTTAAAATATGGAAATTATTTAATATTAAAATATTGAAAATATTTACTACTAAATAATTAAAATATTAAAATAAATATTTAGAATAAAATATTCAACTAATAATTAATAAAATATTAAAAACTATTTATTACTAAGATAATAATAATAATAATAATATTTTAATAATATTTAATAATAAATTATTATGTTAATAATAAATACTTAAAAACAATATTTATTGTTAAAACATTAATTATATTAATATTGAAAATATTATTTTATTGAAATTTATTTCTATTAATATAAACTATTAAAAATAGTAATATTTAATTTTAAATATTAAAAATATTTATGGTATTAAGATAATAATACTTTTATTTTGAAAATATTTATTACAAAATCTAAAAAAATTATTATTTATTAATATTTTCATTGAAATAGTAATATAAAAACAGTTGTCATTAAAATATTAAAAATAATATATGTTTTAAAATTAAAAATATTCAACTTATTAAAAATTATTATTAGAATAATAATATTGTAATATCAAATAATATTCATTATTAAAATAATAAAAATATTATTTATTGTTTTAATATTTATTATTAAAATAGCTATGCTAAAACTAACGTTGGAACTTAGGAAATTCTGCCTTACGACCCAAAAAAGAGCCCGTATCCTCCAACCCATGACCTTCTAGGCTTGCTGGCCCAGCAGCTTAACCACTTCGCCTTGAGTAGCTAAACTTATTATTACAAAGCTGCGACAGCTGTTATAACTGTGCTCATTTTAGGCAGGAGAAACAAAACTGATGTAATTTGGCTTTCTTGGAAAGGAATTGTTGTTTTCACTTCAACAATTTAGGGAACTCATGGATGATGGTAAAATCTTTTTATTCTTCTTACTGGGCAAAGTTATGGATTTTGACACGTGTTTATGTCTCTTTAGGCATTTTACAGGACCGACTTCCAGAGTGAAGAATTATAGCAATCTGAGTACTCTCAATTGCATCAAGCTCAAATTATGATTTCCCTTGATTAGCTCGATGAAATTGGAAAAATAAAGTGCGAAGCGAGAACTCCTATCTATTATAAGGTGAAAATATGCTTTTGTTTTTCATACAAGTTAAATTGCTTGTTTACTTGTTATCCAAATTAAATTTTTCACTGCACAATTGTAGTTTTCTGACAACAGCTAGCTGTCTAACTCAAAACTAGTTGATATCAGATCTTGGAATGTGATTTTGGGCCATGCAACTTACAGAAAATTTAACAATGTCGCTTTTGTACATAATAAATACACAACAATGTCATATATGCTTCTCTAATTCATTCCTAATTGCTAAGCATCCTATTAAATATTCAACGACTCTTCAAATCATATACATCATGCATTAAAGACAATTGCCTGGTATCTATCTGTATAGGACCTTTCTGTTCGCATGGTGGTATCTCTCATTCACCTTTAGCAAACAAGCAGAAGGAATTCTTTTCTGATCAGGTCCATTGTAGGAATTATCTAGAAGAAAACTGAACATGCTTTGTTGTTGAGCTATGTTCAACCCTTTTTACTTATCAAGTAGTGTCCAAAGAATTGACTAGGACCCTGTACAAGTTTAGGTTAAGTGAACTACCTTCAAAATCATGTTGTTGATCATGCTTACAGAAACAACTAGTTCAGAAATAGGACGATTGCTCGGGAAGAACATTCATCTGCTTAAGCACTAGAGCTACTTTCTTCCGAAGTGTTTCGTCATGAAGCAGTTGGATGAGGATTCCCTCAGACCTCTGAAACAATGCATCACTAATTTGTGAATGGTTTAGGATCTTCTGGAATAAGTCCAAGGCTTTTGTTTTGGCAGATAAGGATCCCTTCTCTAGGACCTGAAGAAATGCCACAACACCTTGACTCTCTACAATTGCAGCAGTTGCATGAGACAATGTGTTGTGATCTTCTAGCAATGTTTCAAGTGCCATTAGGGCAGCCTCTGCCACACCCGAGTTTGTATCACTCAAAGTTCGCAATAGTGGCTTCACAGCATCGGCCTTGACAAGGCAGAATGTATGTCTCTGTAAACATGCAACACCATGGATGGGGCATGAAATTTCATTGTCTGCTGAATCTGAACAGCACCAAGACATGTTGGGGAAGAGCTTCATCATGTTAAGCAGTGGCATGGAATTCTCTTGCTTTACCCTGATGCTTGCATGTGAGACTGACAGGCTGGTGGACTGGGATAGCTGTGCTAGAGCAATGGCTGTTCGCTGCTTGGCCAGTGGGCTACCTATAGAAAGCACTCGAACTAGAGATGGATATAGCTCAAGCTGTCCCACTTGCCTTTGAAGTTCGGGCTTGGAGGGTTCTGTGAAGCGTAAAAGTGCTGCTAGAGCATTTTCAAGTAAAGACTTGTCTTGGTTAGTGGGTGCTCCAATCCCACCAAATTCTTCATCCGAGCTGCAAATCACTTCATGAATGGCTTTTACAGTTTCTGATTTACGGAGTATTTCATCAATCTCTATATCATCTTTTGGAAGTTGGCTAATAATACCAGCAGCAATGGACCTTTCTTCAAAGTCTGGTGAACAAGTAAGAATGGATGATAAGGTGTTGATGGCAGTTTCTTTTCCAGGCGATGGTGGGAGTGGAACCCCATCAGGATGACCTTCTGACACACAGTGTATTAGCTTCATTGTCCATCTTCTAACCGAAGGCCGGTCACTATCAAGACAAGAGAAAAGGTGATTGACAGCATCTCTGTTAGATCGTATCAAATTTTGAGTTCTCTTTGACTTATTGCTAAGTTCAATCAGCAGGTGTAGGAACTGAATCTTAAATTGAGGATCAAAATTTGCTACAAGACGCAAAAAGAGACTGACATTATGCTCTGACTGCAGCTCCTGCAGCCCTTGATACATCTCAAACTGAGGAGGTTGACAAGCTTCTATAAGCAGAGCAAGAATTTCAGCAGCTTCTTGTTTAAGGAGAGGATCTGACCTAAATGAGATGAGATTAAGCAAAAGTGGTATAGTTGCTGGGTCTGATAGGAAGCGCTTTACCATCTTGGGGTATTGTGCAAGCTTCTTGACACATTTGATGCAAGCAGATTTGCATGCTGGGGAGTTGGAGGATAGCATGTGAACTAGATTGTGAACAAATTGTTTATCTTTCAAGTCATTTATACTGTTTTCTTTGAGTTGCATCTTGACCAAGGCTGCAGCCATCAATGCTCGAGTCTCTTGGTGTCCTGCCGTGGCACAAGCTTTCAATAAGTAAATTTATTCAATAAACATATCATACTATCAATTTTTTTCTCCTAGGTATTTATTGCTTCACCTTGGTTGAATTGAGTAACAAATGACTGAAAGTATCCAGCTTCAGCCATCTTCACAACAAAGTGTATGTTGGAGGAAAGATTCTGCAATACATTTTGAGCTTTCCATGAGATATCAGGGTTGGGGTTGCTGAGCAAAGAAACCAGGAGAGGAATACAATCCTTGGTATTCCCTATTTTCTCTATAAGAGTTTCTGTTTTAGACAATTCCAACAAGATGGCAATTGTACCAGGTTCTGTTTCACCGTTATATATCCGCTTCACAATGCGGCGAACAGCTCCTGCTTGAACAATTTCTTGCTGCAATTCCCAATAAATAATTCTTTAGATATTTGAATGCTTGCTCCAATGAAAAATATAATAATCAGAGAACATATTGAATGGGTGAGATTTAGACAGAAACGTGCATGTTGAAGTAAAAACTTTCCTTACCTTCTGCTCATCACAGAATTTAGCTATGCAATAAAGGCATTTCTCTGCTGCCACGCTGTTAAGCCTAGCGTCCTTTAAGGACTCAACGAACTTTGGGATGAGTCCCTCCTTTGCAGCTTTCACTGCATATTCAGGGATTTCCAACAGAGCCTTCAGATCATCCAAGGCTTTGTTTTTGCTAAGATGGTCATTGCAATTGATTCCGGGAACTGCTGCTTGAAATTTCCAGTCCATATCCCTTCTCTTCCATTCTTCTATAGAGCTTCGAAGGTTAACATTAGGAGTAAGCTCCAAGCTCTGAAGCTCTTCTCTGCAAGTGGGGCAATTCTTCTTTCCACTCTTGAAGTATTCCTGAATTGCCCTCCTCTCAAAGCTATGGCCACAGAAAACCGCAACGGGGTCTACCATCATCTCCTCGCATAATGGGCAAATGAAGGAACCAATAGGGTAATGCTTGTGGTATGTTGAGGTCTCCTCATTTTGAGGCCTTGAAACAATTTCCGTGCTGTACAACAATTGTATCAATTGAGAAAGCTGAAGTGCCTCCGCCTGCTTCTTTTGAACTTCCATCGCTTCTTTTTCCTGCTTCAAAAGTGCCAATTCATGTTTTACCAAAGATGCATTCACATTAGCACCAACAGCTTCAGCGATCTTCTCCAGTAGCTTCATAGCATTCTCTCTGTTTCTATTGCTATGGAATATTGAATTCTCTATTTCCGAAGCAATTGTTTCTGTTGCAGCTGCCATGCGGAACTCTATTGAATTCAGATTGTTGATTATCTGGTCATTCATGCTCTTCAAGTTCACTGCCATATCAAGATTAATCAATTGAAATGAGGAAATGGTTGCGGCAATATCTTTAGCCAAAGCTTGCATCCGTGAGAGCACTGAATGTGAGTGAAGTAACAACCGGATACGGCTTCCAGATTTGTAATCCACGATGATCTTGCGGGCTTTCATTAGCTGGCTGTTCAATTTCTCCAATGCTGCCTTTGTAAAATCTGAACCCATTGTAGCTTCAATTTTCCTCACATTTAAGGCCTGCAAAAGTTTACCCAGCTCAGAGATACACCTGGAGAATTCTCGAAAGCTGTCCTTTTCCAGCACGACATCTCTTGTCTCCTTAGCAAGCTCCACTGTCTGCAGCGCCACCCTGTTCCAGAGTTCCTGTAATACTGCTACACCAACATCCTCAATTCCAATTCTAAAGTCCATCGAAGACATTGGAAGTAGCTGTAAGAATAAATTCCTGTTTTCAAGTGAAAAATTTTCCTGCTGGGCAGCTTCTTCCACTGCTCCTTGCTATTACTTAGCCATGACATAAACCTGCTAAATCATTAACCATAGGAAATTGAAGCGGTTTTACAGAGGTTTTTTGTTTTTAAATCTTGAACAATGGAGAAAAACGAAAAGAAAAAAGAAAAGAGAAAGAGAATAAGAGACTACTTAGGTGTCAAAGACCCATACCCATAAAACAGGTTTACAGGATTTGACCATACTGAATTGTTCTTTCAGCAGGGCCGATTGATGGCCTGTTTGCCTATGTTATACGTTCAGGATTTAAGGCCAAATTCGGTCAAATCAGTTGCCAGTGAAACCTGCAATGTTAAGTACAGTATATTTCCTTTAATCAGTATAGTTGCTCCTATTTCCTAGAAACATCAAGTGCCTTATCCTAAAATTTTGCTATGATTTTTCTCTCTGAGGTGCGCTAAAATTAGTTGAATGGACACAACAAAGAAAAAATGAAGTGAAAAAAAGTTGAGAGCAGCTAACCAGAGCCTGGCGCCAATTCCCTCGAAGCCGGTCTGTTGATTCTTGATGCTGATAGAAGACGGCAGCTGAGGTTGCTCCGGGAAGAGAATTCTTTAAAAGAAGACTGGAAGAATCCGTTGACGATTTCAAGTGACACAAGGGAAGATGTAGTTTATAATTTTATACTGTGGAAACGAAGGATGGATTGAGAAAAGGTCAAGCTTCGGTACGTCAAAAGTCCTCTTTAACTCGTGTTAGCGTGCACATTGGGACCGCGGTTGGAAGTTGGTACTTTTCACACGAGTACACGCGGATTTTGAGCACCGATTCTCTAAACCCACATCCACACAGGAATCTCACCTCAACCCTGCTCTGCATCGCTTCCATCCTCGGAAGAGAGATTTCCACAATGTAGAGCAAGGTTATGGTCTTCATGTATATTCAAAAGAAAATTTTAAAAAATAAAAAATTCAAAAAGATAACCTAAAATCTTTTAAATATTTTTTTATTCATAAAATTAATAAATTTATCAATAGTTATTGATTTTGACTTTATGATTTTTCTCTGAATAAGTATTTGATAGTATATATAATAATGTAATTATATTTTTTTTTAATATATAAAAATTCATTATGAACGATTATAATAATGTTATCTTAAATTTTATTTATAATTTTATATACTATAAATAAAATACTAAAAAAAATTCTAAATTTTACTTTTTACTTTTTCAAAATTTGTGGGAGAAAAATATATATTGCGAGTCTGTGGCATAGCTTTGGCTCTCCTATTTGGGTTCAATTTAACTGCTGAAATTTTCATTACCAAGACCAATTCCAACTTCCATGGAGTATTTTACTAATGGCAATGCTGCTTGAATTAGCAGGTATTAGTAAAATGTCATTTTCTGAAGCAGCGACCTTTTCCTTTTCATTTCTTTTGATTCATTTTAGTAGTACTATCTTTGAGATGATTTAATTAATTAATATTTAATATTATCTCAAAATCCATTATTCAAGTTTTGTCTTTCTTTGTATAAAAAATAATTGGTGGTAAAGTTTCAATCCTTCATAGTTTAACTCGATATATTTTTTTACTTAATTTTTCATTTTTCTAACTTATCTTAAAATTTTTTTTTTAAACTTGTCTTTCCCGTTCAGGAAATCAAAGCTAAACCAATTTGATTACAGCTAGTACTACATGTTTTTAAGTCACCTTTAAATTCTTCAAATTTGGGCCCAGCACAACCAAATTAAGAACGTTACTTGTCTGCCATCCTCATATAATGTATAATTATTGAATAAATTCAAAAATGAAATTTATAAATTAATTAATTCATAAATTACATCGCACAATCAAACCATTAAATATAATTATATGGCATGTCATATATTTAATACAAAAGTCATAGGGTAAAATAATATTTTACAACAACATCCATTTAGCTCGGAAAGGTATTAAACACCCAAATTTTTTTAATTTATAAAATAAAATTATTTAATTATCCTTTTCATCTCAATTTTAAAGTTTCCCAATATGTATTTTCAGTAAATTATGTAACTTATCGGATTTTCATATCCGAAAAATTAAAAAAGTTACATTTAGATAAAAAAAAATGTGAAAAGTAAAGGATGAGATGTGAATACTGTTGACATTGTAAAAACAAAAGGTAATTGAAAATCAAAACAAGATTGAAGAAGAACTGAAGTAGCAAAAACTTGAAAATCAACTAAAAAATCAAAACTGAAAGTGAGAACTTAAATATGAAAACTAACAATTTATGGATAAAAAATTAAATTTACAATTCTTTAAATGAAATGAACTCAATCTGAACTAAGAAACATAGATCTATGAGTTTATTACTTAGATCAACAAAAAATTGTAAGAAACAATGAAAATCTAGCTTAATGAACTGATCAAAAACCAAATGTAGTAACAAGAAAAACAAAGCAATAACAAGAAAAATTAACCAAACAGAATGTAAATGTAAGAATCTAAATGCAATCAAATAAAAGTAAACAAGTAAATTAATGAATTAAATAATGTAAAGTGCAAGAATTGCAAACCAAATGCCTAGCTAGGAGAGAAGCAACTTGAAGTGTTGTTACTCACTCAAGATCTAACTCACCTTTTGGATTCAAACAAAATTTTATAGATTTTTTTGGAATTGTTTGAAAAGAATTTGTGTTTGTTCATTTTAAGATCTGTAGAACAATAAGTTACGAATCCAAGGAAAAAATTTGGCTCAAAACAAGCAAGATTTGAACAAATTTCAATAGAAAAACTGTATCAAGGTCAAGAACATGATTGCCAAACAAATTTGAGTAACATTGGAAATCACTTGGAATTGAATAAGAAAACTTAAAGATTTGAAACTTTTATTGAAGAAATCATAAAGTGCATTGAAAATTAAAGAAAGGAAAGTAAATTGTGCAGGAAAATTAAGGCAACTTTCTACCGAAATAGCCTTTTAAATGAATTAGAAGGAAACTGTTTAGAGAGAAAAGAAAATAAATTACAAGAAAAGTAAAAAATGTAAAACTAAGCTACTTTTCTTCTATGGTAGACCACTCTTCCCTATTTATAGACAAATGGTAGGTGCTTCAGCCCCTAAAAATGCCAAAAAAAAAAAATCCAAGTAATTACCCTTATTCTAGAGTCTTCTTTCTCTTTTCCTTTAATCATTTGCTTGCTTTTTTGGTTCCTTTTAACTCCCTTTTCCTTCAAGCTTTCTTCTCATGATCATTTAAGCTCCAAGAAGTCAACATTATAACCAATAGGAAGCCTTCAAATGGCTAGCTCAACAACTCCAATTGGTCCTCTTTGAATACCTAAAAGTGGTGCCATAAATCTCTTCTCACACGGCCATGCATCCAACAATACATCTTGCATCTTACATTCTCTTCTTGGCACAAATCAATAATGTGTTCGTTCATTTTGCTGCCAAAATACAAGCCATTAAATGAAAAACTTATGCCTTATAATCTTTGAAAAAATTATGGAAAATTGTAAGCCCAAAAATATCTTTCAACTACACTAATGCACTTATACCTTTCAACAACTTGTACAAATATTACAAAGGTAATAATGTACTAATGAGCTAAAGAAGACATTTTCGAATGAGAGATATGAGAATTAAAACTTGAGATAAGATTCCATGAAGTTCAATTGATCAAAAGAAATTGTAGAGAAAGGGTTAAGAAAAACTCACATAGATGCCAATTTAGCATAATCACACTAGTTGTGGCCTTTTCTAGCTTTTAGCACAACAAAATGCTCCAAAATGAGTCTAAAATCTCTAAAATTTCTCCTTTCCACAATCTCACCTATACGTTGACCATTGGTGCATTTATGAGTATTTTTGCCAAAAATTTCAAGGATCGAGCCAAATTTTAAGAGTAATTACACTAAAAATGAGTAAGAAAATGCTAAAACTTTAGTGCAATCAAACCCTTAAACTTAATCTTTTACTTGTCCTTAAGCAAAACTAGATTGAGCTAGAATCATTGCTAACTTCAATGCTTCATTCAACATGAATACCTCATGGATTTATCAATGGATATACTAAAGCAAAATCTTGAATATATGTTAACATACAAGAGCCAACCTAGGCTAAGCTTATTCATAACTATGATTCCCAAAAGCAAGTAATACATTTCACAAATCCTTGCATGTTCTCTAGTAATGTTATGCAAAATATGAAAATTCAACAACAAAGATCAATAAAGTGTGCTCAAGTTTCATATATTTGCTTATTAGACCTCTTTCCACTAATGTAGATAAACAAATGATCAAAGATCATTTAGGATTTTATAAGTTTGTAATGTAAAGCTAAAGTCAAGGTATGATAAAAGATATTTTAGGCTTAAGTACACTAACAATGCATTACTTTGTTTATAATCATTCATTGTTGAACTTTGTTTTTGCTCACTTTTCTTTTCTTTGCTTTTCACCACTTTATTATTTTTTCCTTTTTATTTTCATGGCCTTTTCTTTTTTTTTTTTTAATTTCTCTTTTTGTTTTCTTATTCTTATTTCAAGCTCCACCCTTCATCCGTAAAAATGATAGAAAATATCAAATCAAAGGCTTGCTTTTATAATGTCGATGAAAGGTATCATTAGGGTCAAATGGGGTGACTATGGAAAAATTATATCAGCATTAGCTTAAAAAAGCTCAAACGATCCAAAGATGACCTATATCATTTCTCTAATCTTATGTCCTCTATATTTCACCTCAATAGATGATCAAAACAAATTTTAAAATATAAAACACAACTTCAAAGACCAATGGAAAAAAAATCTTATACTCACATAATCAATTATTATATAAAAAAATACAATTTAATGATCAAAGTATTAACCCACAAATGAAAACTCATACTCAATAAGTCACTAATCCTAAGCATTATCTCATATTTCACATAATATTCAATCTTTTCCTACAGCTATATTCATTCTCAATCCCTATCTATCATTAGTGTCATGAAAAACTAGTTAAAGAAAGCATACTAATTATTCAAGTTACAATAAGTCAAGCTCAGTTTCAAGGGAAAACTCAAGGAAAGTTTGAAAAATTTTACAAAAATTTTGAACAATTTTCTCATACCCCTAAACTTAAACAACACACCGTCCTTAATGTGTAAGCAAAATGAAATAAAGCACAAAAGAGGAATAAGGAAACTCTCTTATGAACATGGAAGCATGGTAGTTGAATGTACTATTTAGCTCTAGCTGAAACTAGTACTTTTAGCTTTAAGCTTTTATTCATCCTAAAATATAAAGAAAACAACTACACTAAGAAACTACATCAATATGTACTAAGAAAGGATAATCGAATGAGAAAATGAACAAATGAACATGGAAAAGATAAATAGCATAATTGAATGAACAAATGAAACATGAACAAAAACAAACAATATCTATATACAAACATGAACAATAACAAACAACAAGTAAAACTTGGATTGCCTCTCAAGCAGTACTTTAGTTAAAGTTAAATGCTTGGCTTTGATTGATGTTAGAAAAGAACACCACTCTTTGTTTTGAAATCTACCCATTTCATCATTTTTCTTAGCACTAAATATGTAATGGTAAGCTTTGAATAACCCTAGTGCTCAAGGTAGAATCATAGTTCACCTTTACGATTAATCTAAGTATATTATAATATGATTTAATAGAAGTGGTCATTAGCTTTAGTACCAATGATATGGGTACCACCATGGAGAATATGGGTTTTAACTCTAAAATAAAATTTTTTTTTCATGAATGGTATA